TTTTCACATTCTGTCTCTCACAGTTGAAGTGTACCTCTGGTGCAAATTACTGACCTCTGTCATCATTTTAGGTGGGGGAACTTGCACAATCGGTGGCTAACTAAATACTTTTTTGCCCCACTGTAAGTGGGGCAAAGCAAGGCCTTTGGTGCTGTACACCAGTGAGATAGCTTCTATAATCCTGTGGGACAGCCTCTGTTTAGACAGAGCTCTACCTTTAGTTGGATTAGCGAAGCAGAAAAACAGCTGGTCACACAAATGCACATTCTCAATGTAGGTGTGTAGCACACGCACTGGACAAAGAGAATGCATCTTCCTCTGCTCCTCAGATGCCAAAGGAGGGGAGCAAAAGCTCAGCACCTCAAACTCCATTGAGCTATAAAATGCAGGCATGATCTTGGGAAAATAGGCAGCATTTGGACGCATTATGACTTTGTGGCCATCAGGAGAGAACTATGTGCAGGAGGGATGCACAGACAGCACATGAGGACACCCACCCGCTTTGCCGAAGCCAAAGCAAGAAGGAATGGAGTCTTATTTGAGAGAAATTTCATATCCACAGATTCAATGGGTTTAAACAGCACCAAAGACAAGTCCCAAGCAGGGACACTGGACTTAAGCATGGCTCTCAGCCAGCGAACCCCTTTCAGAAAATGTATAGCAAGGGGATGTGCACCTGGTGTCAGCCTGTCAAAGCCAACATGACAAGCAGATATAGGTGCTAAATAAACCGTAATTGTTGAAAATGAAAGGCCCTTATTGAGCAGCTCCTGCAGGAATGTCAAAACATCCACAATAGCCCTTCGGTTATTTTTATTCATTTACTCAACCTTCTTTAGCTCTGAACAATGTCTCAAAGTAGTGTTTAACATGAATAAATAGAATTAGACATAAAATAACTGCATTGAAAATACAAATACGCACTGGAAATGTATTACAAAATACAGAAGCAAAATACAGAAGCCGTGTGTGTGTGTGTGTGTGTGTGTGTGTGTGTGTGTGTGTGTGTGTGTGTGTGTGTGTGTATAAAGATCTGCTACCCAGATCTTTATTCTTTTTTTCCTGGTTTGTTGGAATGTACACCTTGAAGAAACAGCAACCTCTGAAAGGTACCAGGTGCTCATCAACTGTCACCTCAGGGCCTGCATTGTACATAGCTGGTATGTCTGTGAAGGTTCTCAGTCATAACATAACTGGTAGGCGCTCCACCCACCTGTTCAGTGGCCAATTCAGTGGGTCATTCAATGGGTGTCGTTCAGCAGCCCATTCAACGGGTCGTTTAGTGACCCATTCTGTGGTGTTGTTCAGTGGGTGTCGTTCAGTGGCCCACTCAATGGGTCGTTCAGTGGACTATTCAGTGGGATTCCCATTCATTTCCTATGGCGATCACCTTTGACCGGGAACACCACAGATGTAATCAAACACTCAAAATTCAACAAAAGAGGCGATAATCACTGTGAAATGTTCTAGTGCATGGTGTGGAGGATGCATAAGGCCTTGAGGCAATCGGATGTAAAACACAATATTTATGAGTGCTTTAAGCTGTAAATCGGTCAAATTTGACCTGAACACAACAGGAAGGATAGAGCACTGAAATGGGAGAGTGTAGCGGTCCTGGCACCATTGCTCGAAGGCTCGCCATTTGTAAGCATACAAGCCTCTAGTAGATGGGGCCCTAGCGCTCTGAATTGTTGCTACTAGGTGGCAGAACCTTAGCAATCAAGTTTGACCTCTCAGGAGGTAAGCATGAAGGTGCACAGATCACGCCACAGGCGTGGATGAACCACTTCTCCTCCTGCCTGAGCGAGGAGGTCCCTGCGGATTGGAATCTGCCAAGGACTCGCTGCTAGCAGGCTGATTATCTCTTCATACCATGACCTTGTGGACCACCAAGGGGCCACTAGAATCAGAGAGAGAGACTGCCGACACACTGTCTCT